CTAGAGAGCATGATGAAAAACTTTAGAAGGACGTAAAAAATATAGAGTATGAGTTTGACAAAAAATGAAATTAAACTAGAAATTAATAAGATAGCAACAAATCCCAATAATGTGGGAATTAAACAGTTCATTACTAAATAATTCTTGAATCAGAAACAAAGTGGGAAACTAGCAAACATTTTGAAAAAGAGAAAGAACCACACCAATCATCATACCAGAAAAGAGAGGCTACTACTGCAAGTCTTATAGATATTAAAAGGATAATAATATTACAAAAAATTTTAATCCAGCAAAAAGTTACATTTTATTTTAAATGTATAAATTTTTCAAGAAATACAATTTACTAAAACTGAATGAACAGGGAACTCTAAATATTCCTACATCTATTTAAGAAGTATAGTTTGTTTGTTTGTTTGTTTGTTTGTTTTTTCCCCCGAGCTGGGGTCTCATTCTGTTGCCCAGACTGAAGTGCAGTGGCATGATCATGGCTCACCACAGCATCAACCTTCTAGGCTCAGGTGATCTTCCCACCTCAGCCTCTCAAGTAACTGGGACTAGAGACGTGCACAACCATGCCCAGCTAATTTCTAAGTTTATTTTATATTTTTGTATAGACGAGGGCTCCCTATATTGGCTAGACTGGTCTCAAACTTCTAGGCTCATGCAATACTCCCGCCTTGGCCTCCCAAAGAGATGAGATTACAGATGTGAGACACTGCACCTGGTCAAGAAATATAATTTCCAGTTGAAAACGTGTCCACAAAGAATACTGCACAATCAGGTGTTTTTACTGGTAAAGTCTAAACTCATCATAAAAATTATTTTCAAAAAAATATAAAAGAAGGAAACATTTACCAACATTTTTATAAGGCCAGTACTCCCAACTATCAAAGCCTGAGCAAGATATTACCAAAAAAGACATATAACTTATAAATATATATACATATAAATCCTTAATAAAACATTAAAAAATACAACGCAGACATGTTTTTTTCAACCAAATCAGAAAAAGTGTCTGACAAAATTAAACAGCGATTCATAGTATAATCTCTCAGTAAATTAGGAACAGAAGGGAACATCCTCATTCTGATAAAAGGGATCTATGAAAATACAGAAGATACATCATACTCGATAGTGAAAAACTAAATGCTTTCACCCTATGATTAGGAACCAGAAAGGATGTCCATTATTACTACCTCCATTCAGTGTTGTACTATAGACTACAGCCCTTCAAATAAGATGAGAGATACAAACAGAAAGCATAAAACTCAGAAAGAAGTAACACTGTCCTCTATTTGCCAAAGACAAGATGGTTTACATAGAAAATCCTAAGGAATCTATAAAACAACTACTATAATTAACAAGATAATTTAGGTGGCAGACACAAGGTCACTATGAAAACATCTGTTGGAAAGTGAAACAACTGGCAATGAATTTTTTAATATTCACTTTAAAGTAGTACCAAAAAATCCACACAATACTTAGGAATAAATTTTGCAAGTGACATACAAGACCTTTGCACTGAAAAATGCAAAATAATTCATGAATTTTTTATTCATAAATAAATGGAGAGGTATAGCACCTTCAGGGATTAGAAAACTTAATACTGTTAAAATGTCACTTCTCACCAAATTTGACCAGTAGATTCAAGACAACTCCAATTCTAACCCAAGCAGGTCTTTTTGAGAAAACTGATATGATTCTAAAATATTTTATAAATGTAAAAGTCCTAGACTATCCAGAACAATCTTGGCCAAAATAAAAATAAAAAATAAAATAAACAAGCGAAGCACTTACACTACTGACAAGAGACTTGTTCTACACATATAGTAATGAAGAAAATGTGGCCTCGGCATGAGGACTGACAACCCAGTAAGAGAACATTGGAAAGAAAATGGCTCATCTAAGAACAAATAAAACATATTTGAATCAAATCTTCAAAAAGCTAGATATACTATCATTGGGCCAAACATGCCAAAGTAAATTTGGCCTTACTGTTGTTTGGGGACAATTTCAATTACTTAAATTTTTCTAAAATAAAGGACGCCACTGAATACTATATATAAGAAGCTATAAGATGACATTGAAAGGTGAATGAAACCAACAATAAGGCAGATTAATTAAACACTTTTTCAGATTTGTAAATGAAAAACCAGAGTGCTTCTCTGAAAATGTCATTGCCTGGAAATTCTGAATTATTTTTATTATGCAAGGTATATGCTAGTATGTTGTCCTTAAACTATCATCAAGTAAAAAGAGCACAGCTGTGAATCTTTATATTGTTATCACAAGCCACATAAGAGACTATTTTATGCTTAAGAAGAGAGAAAGATAAACATATTACTTTTTAAAAAGTTTTTAAGGGACAGGAAATTCACAGGGCAGAATGTTTGTGGAGGAACAGAAAATAATCAGGTAATGGTCTACAGAAACAAATGAACTTAATGAAATTGCAGACTTATCTTACTTAAAGTTTCATGTTTTAGAGATTTTTAAAATTGACAGTTGTGTTTCTATTTAAAGCATAGAGTGCCAAAGTTGACTCTCAGTATTAAAAATGACATAAGCTATAAATGGATATCACCTTCCAATCACCTTCAGGAAAAATAACAAAGATTCCCTCCTCTACTCCTAATTCCTATGCTTGAATACACATTCCCATCTGATTACCAAATAAATTATCCTAGTTCAGGGTCTGTGACTATTTAAAAATTAAAGATTGGCAGAAAATAAAAGATGTGTTAAGTAATAACTGAATATTTAACATAGTACTCATGGATTATGACATGAGAGAAGATAAGATTGATTTCTCTCTATTATGAGTAACCCAAAACCTAAGTTCTATTTCAAGAGTAAATTAAAAAATCTATCCCAAGGAAGAGTTGAAACTCCTAAGGAAAAATTTTTAATGGAAATGTGAGATAACATGTACATTGCTCACTTAAACTGTATTTCAGGAGGCTTAGTGAGTACAAATTAAGCAACAATCTCCCTGACAATTTCACTAGGCAAAAATAATGCATATGGATCTTGGTATACAATATCTATACCTTTAGTATAAAAAATCTACAACTATCATAATGCAAATAACTTTGTATTTCAAACATTTAAAAATATTGTTTATCCTTGTCTTATTCCAGTTTTCAAGGGAAATGGTTCCAATTTTTGTCTGTTTAGGAGTATGCTAGCTGTGGGTTTCTCGTAGATGGCTTTTACTATTTTGAAGTATGTTCCATGTATGCCTAGATGTTCAAGGGTTTTTATCAAGAGGGGGTGCTGGATTTTATCAAAAGCTTTTTCTGCATCTAATGATAAAATCAGGTGGTTTTTGTTCTGACGTCTGTTGATGTATTTAATTACATTTATTGTCTTGCGAATGTTGAACCAGGCTTGCGTCCCAGGGATGAAGCCTACTTGGTCATGATGGATGATTTTTGAGATGTGTTGTTGAATCTGGTTTGCTAGGATCTTGTTGAGAATTTTGGCATCTATGTTCATCAAAGACATCGGCCTGTAGTTCTCTTTCTTTGTTGGTGGGAGCATAAACTAGTGCAACCTCTGTGGAAAGCAGTGTGGCGATTCCTAAAAGCTCTAAATATCAACCTCCCATATGACCCCACAAACCCCCTACTGGGAATATACCCTGAAGAACTCAAATCACTCTATAAAAAAGATACCTGCACACGTATGTTTATTGCAGTATTGTTCACAATAGCAAGAACCTGGACCCAACCATGCTGTCCATCAAAAGAGGACTGGATTAAAAAATGTGGTACATATACATGATGGAATACTACACAGTCATAAAAAGAACAAAATCATGAATTTCACAGCAAACTGGATGAAACTAGAGTTTATAATACTGAGTGATCTCTCACAGAAACAAAGATTTGAGTATCACATGTTCTCACTCATAAGTGGACCTTAAACATCTATTGTAATACTATAAGAAAAGGATTGACAGTGGTGGGAAACTATGAGGGGGGCAGGGAGGAGAAGGGAGGTGGGATTAACGGTAGCCAATATATGTCTGGGGACGGGGGTACACCCCTTATCAACAAGGGTGCCTGAAACGATGCATATTTGTATACCTAACCCTTAACTGTACCCCACAATTTTAAAATAAAAAATGTTAAAAATAAATAAATAAAAATATTGTTTATACAAAGTATTTATGGTCAGTGAAGTATAATGAGACATAAGAATACATTGCCAGCCGGGCTCCGTGGCTCAGCCTGTAATCCCGCGCCTTTGGGAGGCTGAGGTGAGTGGATTGCCTGAGCCCGCGGGCTCGAGACCCGCCTGAGCAACTTGGCAAGACCTCATCTCTACAATAAATAAAAAAATTAGCCGGTCGTGGTAGCGCGCGCCTGTAATTCCAGCTACTCGGAAGGCTGAGGCGGAAGGATCGCCGGAGTCCAGCAGGCGAGGCTGTGGTGGCCGGGAGCGGCCACTGCACTCCAGTCTGGGTGACAGAGTGAGACTCCAACTCAAAAAAAAAAAAAAGAATACATTGCCATAAATTTATTAAACATGAATAATATGTTAAGTATAACATAAAAAAATAACTAAATTGCTTCTGAAAGTGATAGCATAATTGTCATCTTAAGCAGATACAGCATGCTGGGTATAGAGTAATATGAAAATAGTTAATAAATACTATAGTTCAAATTTACTTATTATTTAGGATGGATAACAGTAACATGGACAGGATTTTATCTGAATAATAATGATAAATTAATTAGCAACAGTAAATAAGGACAAATAAATAGAAAAATCATTCTTCATATAATCAATTACAAGATGCTAAATTTGAAAGTATTTTATAAAGATATAAATTCTATTTATTTCTTAGTTATTATTGGGTGAAGTGTTATTTTTATTGTTGAAGTCCCTAATTGTGGAAGCCAGTGTGTTTTATAAATAACTATGATGTTTACTTACACATGGGGCATGTTCATTCAACTTTTTTTTCTTTTCCTCAGCCTCACATAACATACCTTAGATAGCCTTTTAGAAGATTCACAATTATGGCCTATACATGGCTTGGGTCCTTTTTCAGTATCTAGAGATGAAACTGAGAAAATATATTATATTTCATCATGGGTCCAATGTACCATATCACAATATTTAAACTGGTTTTTGAAAAATGAAACATTTATCTAATATTTCTGTTACATTAAAAAAATCAAGCAACTTTTCTAATGCTAAACAGTCTTTTTAGTAAAAAACTAAGCCAGATATTTACTTTATATAAATCAGGAAAACCTCACTTCTAGAGTGGACTTAAAAATTTATCAGCTTTCCTGATAATTAGTGTTTGGCTACTGATTTTGTAAAATTCAAGCAGTAGAATTATTTCAACTTTTATAACATATATGTACATGTATGTCTAAAGGTGTTTATTCATTAATACTCTGTTTAACTCTACCTATACAATATAGTATCATCTCACAAACTCCATTCTTAATCTCTAGCTACAAAGAGATAAAGGCAAGATAAACTATAACACATTATAATATTGGAAATGAAATGGACAGGTAGTGGCCACAGTAACTAAAATGATAAACATATTCATGAATGCATCCTTTCATTTATTTAACAAATAATCACAAGAAGCCTACTATGTGTCAGATGTTATGCTAGGTGTTTGGGATACAAGTGAACAAAATCTATAAAATCCCTTTGGATTTAGCAACATAGAAATGAGTACTGTCTTTGCAAGATCATCTAAGAAAACTTCTATATACTACCAAGACTTAAAAACCAAAGAAGGAATAAGAAACAAAAGATTACTTCAAGAATTTCCATTAATTAATCTTTTCTAAATTATAGTATTAATCTCATTATCACCAAGCTCAAAAACCACCAGTTACTTCCACTACTCATCAAAATATGGGGGAAGAAATCTGATGTGTGGCCTGAGGTCTATCATTAAAAAACATAGATATATTGTATATCTTCTCGAGACTTCCACTCTCTAAGCTGTAAAATAAGGGGCTGCATAATGTGATTTTTGTCAGTATTCCCAGTTATAAGAATATAATTAAAACAAAAATACTTCTACCAATCAAAATTCTCTATAACTACTAACAATCTTTAATAAGTTACTTTCCCCATAACCCTACCCAAATGCTACTCATTAGCCATTCTAGACCAAATATTCCAACATTGTCTATGTACATGACTTTTAAGTCATTTGTTTTTCATAGAATTCCTTCAAAACACCAATAATTTTCCATGGACCTCAATTGTTCATCTCTTTAACATATTCTCTTCTCTAGAAATCAAAAAGCATCTAGTAAGTTTCTACACCATTTATATAACCTGTAATACTATTATATGAATATTTTATTTTTACTAGAACATGACCTTCTTGAAGAAAGATCTTTACATTACCAACATTGGCCTACTGTTATGCAAAATATATCTGACAGATAAGTGTTGATATGAAGATCTTAAAATTGACCACAAAATTATTAATACATGCAGAGTATACTCCCAGAATTCAACATACTTCCTTCATACCTTCTCAAATCCCTACATGTTGTGAAACTTTACTGTTACCTTCTGAACTGCTATTGTAAGACATGATAAAACAGAATAGACAAGAAAACACAAACCATCCTGGTGATTTTATAAAATCAGACAGAATAGTTAATTTGAGGAAGATTTCAAAGTAGGGCATGAATCTGGAGGAAAAAAGTTTTCATTTATGGACTATTCTAAACATGAGGCAATCTAACTCTAGGCCTAGGAAAAATTAAATCTCTAATCTTATGTATCAGAAATGCATGTAGAGTTCTGAAAAACACTAACGAGATTCCGCCAGGCCTTTCAAATATTTTTCACCTAAGGTATAGCTTTTGAAAGTACTATCCATAAAGTAATTCAGAAGATGGCAGACTTGAGTTTATACATGCACCGTGTGATGTGATTATGAGATTGGATTATTATGATTATATACATATACATTACACTTTTTAACCTGTATAAAAGTTTAAGGAAATTAAAAAATTAATTAAAATCTACTATTTATAAGACTAAAACAAAACTCAGAAACTACAACACACAATCAAAAGAAACACAACGTCTTTCTCTTTCGTATCTATCTTTTCAGAATTAGTATAGATAAAGATGACTCAAGGCAAAAACTTCTAAGACACTGTTTAGGTTTAAATCTGGTAGTAATGGTGGCAACAGTTAACAGGTATTCTATTCATCCCAACCATGTTAGGCAAAATGCATGACTTCCAGGCTCTTTGCATCAGTTATCTCTTCCCAAGTTTCTGTCTCCTAGCATATCCTCTCTTTACTTAGGTTAGCTGACTAACCTCATCCTGTATAAAATTTTTTTACCTTTTTAAAACATAAACTTGCCACAAGATTAAAAAGGAAAAAGGAATAATGCCTGCAAAAATGGTGGAGAAAACTTCAGGGTATATCGTTTCAAAGAAACACTGAAAAAATGAACAAAAATGGTCAGAATCAACTTTCTACAGAACTCTGGGAAAAGGCCCAATTGTACAACAACCAAGTAAATGCTAAATCAACAAAAAATGACAATAAATGCATTATTTTCTAAAATCTCTATAAAAATCACTTGCTGACCACAAGGTTAAAATCAAAAAGACTTCAAAGGTTGAAAAAGTAACAAAAGTTTATGTTAATATAAAACAGACTTCAGAGACCACACATAACAAAAGATACAGAAAAGTTAATAAACAAAGAGCTGCAACCCACACAAGTAACAATAAACACCAAAGAAAAGATTTAATTTTAACAGTATATATTGAAATATTAAAAAACGTAAGTTTTTAAACAAAATAATGAGAAGGCATGTAAAGAAACATGAATATATGGTTCATTCACAGAGAACAAAAAATAAGAAATTGTCCTTGAGGAAGCAGGGACAATTGAATTTATTTGACAAAAACTCCAAATCAACTATCTGAAATATAATCAGAAAGCTATAGAAAACCACAGACATAGAACTAAAGAAAATCAGAGAAATGATATCTTAGTAAATAGAAAATATCAGCAAAGTGAAATAAGTGATAAGAAAGTCTAATAATTCTGGAGCAGAAAATTATAAAAACCAAAATAAGAAATTCACTACAGTTTTCAACAATAGATTTGAGCAGGTAGAAGAAAGAATCAATGAACTTGAAGATAGTTCACTGAAAATATCCAGCCTAAGGAGAAGAAAAAAGAAAAAGAAAAAAATGAAGAGAACCTGAGATCTGTGGGACAACATCAAGTGTACCAACATATGCATAATGGAAGTCTCAGAGAGAAAAGTGAGAAAGGGGGGAAAAAAGAATATTTGAAGAAATAATGGCCAAAATTTCCCAAATTTTACTAAAAACATAAATGTATATACACATTCAACAGAATCCACATACAGTAAATGCAAGAAATTCCACATTAAGATAAATTATAATCAAACGATCAGAAATCAAAGACAGAAGTTTCTGGATTGCTGGAAATATGAAGGTGCCGGGAGAGTGGCCAAAGAGGAACTGAAGCTCAAAGGCCCTTTCTACACACCTTGCCATATGCATCTCTTCCATCTGGCTGTATATCTGCATCCTTTGTATTTGTAATATCCTTTATAACAATTGAGTAAACATTTACTCCCCCCCAAAAAAGATGAAGAATCTTTAAAACAGTAAGAAGTAATGTGTCATACACTACAGGTCCAAAATAAGATTAACATCCTATTTCCTATTAAAAACGAAGGAGGCTAGAGGGCAGTGAAATGCTACACTCAAAGTACTAAAATAAAAATGCTTTCAACCAATAATCTTGTATCAAGCAAAAAAAGTCCTCAAAAAATGAAGCAGAAACTAAGACATTCCAAAAATGAGCAGCTAATGGACAACAATAGTAACTTGATGTATACAAAAAAAAATAATAACAGTGGGTAAAGTAACTACCCTATTGGGGATATACCCGGAGGAACTCAAATCATTCTACAAAAAAGATACCTGCACACATGTTTGTTGC